TGTGTGTGTGTGTGTGTGTGTGTGTGTGTGTGTGTGTGTATCTGCTCCGTGATTGTCATCTGGTGCGCACGTTTTTCCCTCAACAATACTAAAGAATATTAAAGTTTGCCATTGTTCAGAATTCAGCGTTTAGTTTCTTAAACTTGACCTGCGAAATCAAACTGGCTAAAACAGGATTCACAATTAAGGCAAATTTTCTGGGGTTTTGCATGTCATGCAAAAGATACACCCAAGTTAAAGCGAATAGTTAGTACTACTCATATTAGTATTATTTAGTAGTAAATTGTATATACAGTGACTTAAACTAGTGCCACACGTCCATAGATTTGTAAATTTCCTCTTGAAATGGACCATTATCCTGCCATACCAGATCTGGTCATAGCTCAATGTTTTTGGACAAGGTCAGCACATATTCTGCACTGTGGTTGAATCGTTTTCTCATACTTTGCTCTTTTTTTATATTAATTTTTTTTAACATTCTTGTTATCCTTATAAAATGTGAATGCTTTAATTTAATTTGCAAATCCTGTCACATTTTGCCCTGATTTTCTTCTTAACCTGGAGCTCTGGCCAGGGTGTGGGTAGTGAGTAAGAGGGGTGAAGGGAGGAGGGGGTAATGGAATGTAGTGGTTTGGAAAGACTTACTAATTGAAACCAGGTTTGAAGCACAGAAGGGGAAAAGTAAGGCTTGCTATGGAGGAGAAAGAATGAGGTGTTTTATTCACGCCAGACTGCGGCATGACTTTAGTTATGGAGCTGTTTTGCAGTAGGATGACTGAAAGTTTATGTAACAGAATAAGAGAATGAAAGGAATAGATACAATTGAGTAAGAGGGGCAAAAAGATCAGTGCTGATAGTTTGGAGATGTGTATGGAGTGTTGACATCCAAAAAGCTGTTTTGCAGTTTATCTGATTTAAGCTAGCTTTTAAACATATTTATGAGCAGATTTTTCATCAGCGGAACATTTGGAGCCCATCCCCCTTCTCCTGCCACACCCAAAGCTTTCTTCTGTTTTGTCAGGACAGATCATAGCAGAATAAAACAGTCAAACAGTAATAATGCACTCTTTTAAAGTTGTGCTAGAGTACTTAATTTTACTTAAAAAGTTCATTTTAATTTGAGTTTTTTTTATTTTTTATTCTGTATGTGTGGTTGCCTCATTCATGTTCAGCAGTGTCTTTCAACCTTGGTTGTATTTGAAGGTTACAGTGTGTTTTGTTTAAAACAGAACAGGGAGCTTCTTGCTTATCTTAAATGATTTAGGATTTAAATGTTGAATAGAAACAAGGTTTTGGGGTCTGTGTGTCATTATCTGATGCGTGATTGTCCTGGAAGTTTACAGTGGAGGCAAAACTTTCTCCTCTGTGTTGATAGGTCAGATTAGGGTGTATTTCGTAGGACCATCTATTCCAGTGTGAAACGGAAAGTGTCTGGACTTGTACACACTTCCTTTGTCATTTCCTTGTCGAGGACTTGCGATGGCAACACCAAGGAGGAGTGTCAGGCTTCATTTGAAGAGTTCTGAAGTATGAAGTCTGATATGAAGACTTGCATTATCTTAGTACGTGTCTTCCTGTTCAGACAGACCCTGGAGTTATCATCATTCCATGGTTGAGAAATTCTGGCTTGACGCTAAAACAGAGTTGGACAATACACTGTGCGTTTGCCAATATGGTTCTGAGTCAGAGTCAGGCATTCATATTTCATCATTTTCCATATTGAAAAAGTTGTGTTGTAATAGTCTGGCACACATAGGCCTTAATCAAGGGCAGATTTGTAAATTTTACATGAAGTTGTTTTTGAGCCCTAATGTAGTTTTTTGACTGGAGTTAAAGGTGCAATAGGAGATCTTGGAAAATGCTAACTTTATTCCTTCCTTGTATTATTATTATTATTATTATTAAAAGGGCTATTATAGTCGCTCATTTAAGCCATTAGTAATCGCACGTTTATATTTAATTAAACTATTAAATTAACTTAAACTAAACTATACTAAACGAGCGTTTTATAGGCTATAGCCTATTCCGCGCTCAAGCGGATCGCATAAATAGCTAGAACATATTTTATTTAGGCTACTTATTACTAAACTGTTTTCTGAGTCAGTGTCTGCAAAGATGAAGTTGATGATGCTGATGAACGACTTTATTCTCGAAATGTAATTATTTTTATTCTCTATTTTATTTCTACATTTTTCTGGATATTTAATGAGTTTAATGTCGCATTATAGGCTAATGACTTTATTCTGGAGATGTTTTTTTTTTATTTTAATTGTTTGGCCCTATAATCCTCTTTCTTACTCTCTCATTTGGCACGAATCCAAATGTTTCCATATTCACAATGTTGGCTATTTATTAGGCCTATGTAAACCAGGCTTTGTACTTAACCCGCTTTCCAAAAAAAAAATCATGGTCTTCACATGAAAAATCTACATGCATATGTGCTTGGCCCGAGCTCAGGCTGAGCGGCACGGATTGTACTACGGGCTGTTTTTTATTAACCAGTGTACCGTTTCAAAAAAAAAAAAAAAAAAAAAAAATCATGGTCTTCACATGAAAAATCTACATGCATATGTGCTTGGCCCGAGCTCAGGCTGAGCGGCACGGATTGTACTACGGGCTGTTTTTAATTAACCAGTGTATCTAGATTCTATAGTGTATCTATATGTTTGGTTGACTATATTTTATTCTGATGATGAACAGGCTGCAGCGTTTGCAATGCTGTAGGTCTATATGAAAGGTGCATTTCTCTCGTACTGCAGAGATGGCTAATCAGCATCGTCAACTTCATCTTTGCATAATAATAATAATAATAATAATAATAATAATAATAACAATAGCCTACAAGGAAGGAATAACTGAGAACGTGCCGTTGAATTACAGAAAGAAAAAAAAAAACCAAGGTACCGTCACAAAGTTCTTGTTTGGCAAAATTAATATAAGCTATTCTGTGTCTTAAGACAAGTTAAGTTAGAACAAGTTCAATAAAACAACTTTATTTTATTTCTACGGTAGAGGAGAAATAGCCAAACCAAAAAGAAAGAAAGAAAACACAATGTAACATTCATAAAACCGCACTCAATGGAATGCGCACATGTGACTGAGGCTAGTGCCATCTAGTGGTCGCTGATTTTCTGTGGCTCAGCTGCGCGTGGATCC